GGGTGTGGCTTCTGGCCATGAAAACTGTCAACAACACATCTTTATAAAAATAGTTTATTTATTTTTATCTAGGGAGATGATACATATGCCTGCTCTAAATCTATATATCAGGTGGATTAATATACAATGGTTCCAAATTTTATTTGGATTAAGAAAATATGGGTAATTCAAAATACAGGACAGGATCAATGCGGGAGAGGAGGACAGACTCCAGCATTTAGCCTTACCAATATTAGCATGCATAACTAGAGGTGGTTACAGTAAAATGGAGAAATCAGTTAATGTCTCTGAACAAACATACAGTATAATAAGATATTTGGAAGTCTCCCACCATGATTTTAAACTCAAAGACAAAATTCTATAATAAAAATAGTATTTTTATTGTTAATGTAGTACAAAGATCATGAAACATATTCATAAATATTCTAGGATGCGGGGTTTTCCCATTTGCTTGTCGGAAGAGGCTATTTGGATTGTTGCTTAAGGCTCCATTAACCACAAAATAGAAAGAATGTCAGGACCAGATATTTTTCTGATGATCTTTCCCCACCACACGCTGGACTCTGCCCAAGTAACTTGATTTGAATTAAGCCAGGGTTCACAATAATGTTGAAATAAGAGGATTCTAGCTTAATGCTGGAAAGAAGGCCAGGCTCATTACAATGGAGGTTCTCGCCTACTTAGATTCTGTTTTCTGGTATTCTTACAGCAAGGAAACTATAAATGATTGATAAAATTATTCATATTACAGTTTACTGATAACCACACATGTGCAAAGAAAGTGTCTGATATAGCCATGGGAAGGCAGATATGGACAAATGCATCAAGCTGAAGAGTATGCACAGAGCTTTGAAGAACATTAGCCAAAACTAAATGCAGATTTTTAGGTGTATGGAATGGAAAAGTGCATTCACATCACAAGATGACAGAATGAAAGGAGATATAATGGCATTTTAGAAATGCAAAATGGAAAGGAGCATGAAAATGGAAAGAAATACCAAGCCATCTTTGATATATCCACAATTTCTACTTCATTTCTGGCTAATGGTGGAAATTAGTCTTGAGATAGTTGATAAAATCAGGCTGTCTGTGCTGGGTTACTACTGTGATCTGAGGCCAAGCAAGTACTTCTAAAATTGATTTTTCTTTTTGGCAACCAATGGTCCAGTCAATAATAATGTCGTTTGAGAAGGATTGAGTCATGAGGGA